CAGAAATCCAACTCAGATGAAATAAATGCATGAACAAGTGTCTCAGCATTATCTTGAGAGAGATAGTTTCTTATCTTTGCTATATCTTGTAAATGATAGAAGGACGTTTTGTAGGTGTTCATAGTTGACATGGGAATCAAAAATTACAGCTATGTTTCCAGCATTATTTGAGACTTCAATGTGTTCACCAGCCACATGAATACCCTTAATAGGTGAGTTGACTTTGTGCTTTGGTCTAATCACTAGGAGCTCAGTTTTATCCCTGTTCAGTTTTAACATGTTTGCAAGCATCCATGCATCAATATCAATTAAACAAGACTCAATTGCTTGCACTGAAGCCGCTTGATCATGAAGCTTGAATGAGTAGTAAAGCCGGGTGTCATCAGCGTAGAAATGACATGATGGGCCACGACTTCTGACAATGTCGCCAAGCGGGGACGCGCACAATACATACGCCACTCCCCAGGAGAGCGCACTCCGAAATCCGTCAGAAGGAGGTCATCTCGGGTAGATTTCCGATTACGAAATCCGAGCTCACCCGATTTTGTCTTCGTGATGAAGGCCCTATTTAGCGTATTAGACCTGCAAAACAGAGTAGAAACGAACACGTGCTTCGTTTTCGCTCATGACTTCGTATTAGCCGTAAGATATTTGCTCTTTTTTTCGTTGTTTACCGACAAGGATAATCCGTGACTTGTCTCAACTATTACATGTTCTCTATCTGCGTTGTGCCATGATATCATTGAAAATATTTCACGATAATATTTTTACAATATTTTAGATGAGGATTTTCAATTCTAAATGCAAGAGCGTACTTAGGGAAAGATCTACAAGAAACAGTTTCTTATGAATAGGTTTTAAAATTCTTTTAGCTGAATTGTACTTACAAAAAATAGATAAAAATTACAACATAGATGTATTTCACTTCGACGATTATCTTAATAAACAATTCATGGGATGTTCTGAGAATCAGTTTTTAATGCTACATGCTAAATTAATGGTTATTTTTCTCTTCCTGCTTAAGGGCTCTTTCGCAGTTTTGGTGACGGTAGCAGTTTCATACTCTCGAAGAATGAACTCTGCTGACATGACATCCTTCACCAGACCTGACCTTTCAGACAACTTTCTCTCAAACAAGGAACTCACTTCTTGAGAAGTTAATTTACGTGCCATCATAGAATTGGAAATTTTTTTCAGAAAGCGAAATTATCGATTGGAATACAGCCGAACGCTGAATACGAATTGAGTGAGGAAACAGATACTTTGATATCTCGGACGATAACAAATTTCCCGCCTTTGCGAGTTTGAACCATTCAATTGTCTAATCGACCGTAATATTTATCTTTCCTCTCCATTTCCGGTGTTTTAACATCCTCCTTTTGACAGATTTCGTGGAGGTGTCACTATGTTGTAGTTGTGATCGGCCATCCGTGAAAAGGAGGCATCACAAAAATTTTGTGGAGTCTGTAATATAGGTTAGTAACGAAAAAAAAATGCAAATATCTTAACGCTAATACGAAGTCATGAGCAAAAACGAAGTACATGTTCCTTTCTACTCTATTATGCGGGTCAAAAATGCTAAATAGGGCCTTTATCACGAGCACAACATCGGGGGAGCTCCGATTTCGTAATTGGAGATCTACCCGAGATGACCTCCTTATGACGGATTTCGGAGTACGCTTTCCCATCGCAGGTCCTTGCTACACGATGTTGCCCCCTTCACGTTGACTACTTGTTTACGATTCTCAAGGTAAGACTTAAACCAGCGCAGGGCTTTTCCATTAATACCAAAGCGACGAGAGAGTCTCTGCAGAAGAATCTTGTGATCCACCGTGTCAAAAGCTGCAGAATTATTGTATCGACCCATTTCTTCCCGCATGTCTTATCAAATAATTTTGTATGGCATGTTCACGTCGACTCAATGCTTTTTCTTAGCTCAAAAAAATCATTGAATGTCAATCTCATTAATATAAATCTACTGATATGACATCAATAATGGAGAGGTTCAGACTGTGAATAGTTGGGTTAAATATGTCTTTTCCTACGTTAAGCATTTCGTTTAACATGCAAGTCATAAGACTTAACTGGAATCAGTGGTAACGAATCACGCTGGCATCACAGTATGCAGGAAGTTAGTTATCATGGATCTACTTTAACGGCTTAGCTTGCAATGGGTATCCTATACTTCGTTGTTAGAGTGTCCAGAGTCCTAATTGGAAGGTCGTAGGTTTTTTTTCTTCTTTCGCTTAAATCTCCGGGGATAAAATTTACAATCGTCAATTTCACTCTATTTTCCTCTTTCCAATGACGCCTATGTCATTCACTAAATTAAATGTACCTTTAGTTAAATCACTAGGCTTAAAATTGCCTCCTTTATTTACAAAACTAAATGTGTGCATAACAATCGGGCAAAAGGTAAAACGCGATCGTTTTATCTGGCCAATACGGAACACTAAGAGTGAGCGAAATACCAATGTAACATTAGAGCAACAAAAAAAACAAAAAGTGTGCAAGATGCTTACTCAACAATTGGGCAACAAGAAAAACTTAAAACTCAAATAACGGAACGAAAAAATCAAACATAACGGAAAACTAAAACCGTTAGAGATACTAACGAAACAATCGGGCAGAAAGGAAACTTGAAGTGAGCGAGATACTAACGTAACAATCGAACAGCGTGGAAAATTAAAAGTGCACAAGACACTGACGTAACAATTGATCAAAAACTAAACTGAAAAAGTACGAGACCCCGCTATTGAACGAAAGGAAAACTAAAAGTGAATGAGACTGTAACAAAAGAGTCGGAAATCATGGAAAACTAAACATGAACAGAAATCAGAAAAAGGAATCAAACACCAAAGAAAACTAAAAGTGCTTAAAATTGTAAAGTAACAATCCAGCAACAAGGAAAACTAAAAATGTGCGGAAATGCTTGCATAAAAATGGTACTACCAGGAAAACTAAAAGTTTGCAACTGGGACACTAACGGAACAATCACGCAATAAGGAAAGCAAAAAGTGTCAGAGATCCTAACAGAACAATCGAGTGACAAGGAAACAACGTGTCCGAGATACTAACATGACATTTGAGAACAAGTAAACGTGCATAAGATAGTAAGGTGAAAAAAGCACAACAAGGAAACCTTTGGACTGCGGCGAGACACCAACGTAACGATCAAACAACAAAGAAAAATAAAAGACCACGTGATAATTATCTAACAGTCCCACACCAAGGAAAACTAAAAGACTGAGAAATATTAGCATAACAACTGAACAACAAGAAATACTAAAAGTCCAAAAGATACTAACGAGCTTTCCGTGGAGTTTGCTAACTAACATAGTAACAAGGAACTTTAAATCACTCTACTAAAAGTGTCGCATATCCTAAGATCAGGGAACCTCAAAAGCAGACACGGATTGATAGTTTCTTTTACTTACATAAGGACACTACGTTTGAAAATTAAAATCATGTAAATGTGCATGAAGTGTGCACTTCTTTTGTTCTGTTCCTTTGTTCTGTTCACTTCCAAGAAAGGGTGATTGAGAATTCTACTGTTTATATAAATTTAGCGGCAAGTCTTATATTATTGACGCATAATGTCAAATTGATGTATGTGTAATAGAAAAGCAACACCCAACAATACTGTGATAGATTATAAAATTGCAAGTGGTCTTAAAAGCTTTAAAATAATTACTAACGTAATGATTGGATAACAAGGAAAACAAAAAGTACACGTTATTGTAATACAAAAATTTGATAACAAGGAAAAGTAAAAGTCTAATAATTGGAAAGGACGGAATACTAAAAGTACAAGAGATACTACTGTAATACTTGAATAACAAGAAAACCTAACAGTGCACGAGATACCCATGTAATAATTAAGCAACAAAGAAAACTAAAAGTGCTCGAGATACTAATGTAATTAATGGATATCAAGGAAAAATAAAAGTGCACAAGATAATAGTGAAATAATTGGATAAAATTATTGGATGTAGAAATTAAACAATAGGCAACTAAAAGTGCACTGGATGCTAATCTAATAATTGGATAACGAGGCAAACTAAAAGTGAACGAGATACTTATTTAAGAACTAAACAATTTGGAGAACTATATGTCAAAGAGATACCAATGTCATTATACAACGTGGAATACTAAGAGTTCACGATATAGTAATGCAATAATTGGATAACAGGGAAAACTAAAAGTGCACTGTAAGATCCAAGTGTAACATTTTTTCTATTATTCGTTCTTGCGTAATTTGTTTTTCCTTTGCGTACGCAAATTAGTTTATACTTCTTTTCGTCCATTTGTTTAGTCTTTTTTTTTTGGCGTTAATTTAGGTGTTTATTCCTTTCTGTCAGTTTTCGCGCCCTCGTTAGCGTTTCTGTGCTGTTTCATCTTCATTAGCGCCTTTCTAAGTTTCTATAGTTTTATTTTCCGCATGTTCTAGCGTATTTTTCATATCGTAGTTTTGCAGTACAGTTTGGGCAGTTCATTTTGGTCCGCGCTTAGCGCAGTTCTGTTTAGTTTCTTGCAAGTCTCTTCGCGTTATTCGCAGTCCGCTTTACAGCAGTTTTCTCTGGCCGAAACAATGTAAGTGTACTTCACAGTCCTCGTTTTGCAGTTTTGTTATTTCCTTACTCTAATTTACCTTAGTCGCAACTTGTAACTTTTTTGCTTTTTTACAGTTTTAGTTTCAACCCACGCTGTTTGTATGCACACTCTTAGTACCAAGCACGTCGGCTACAATAAATCTTCATTCGAATTTGGTTTGTGGTGTTGTTATTAAAGGCCAGGAGACTTACACGCTTATTGCAGTTTCATGCACCATACACTAAGTAGTAATTAAATGAAAAAAAAAACTAAAAGTAAACGAGATTTTAATGCAATAATAGGATAACAAGGAAAACTAAAAGCAGACGAGATACTGACATAGTAATTAGAAAACAAGGAAAACAAAAGTGCACGAGACACTAACACCATTATTCTATGACAGGAAAAATAAAAAGTGCCGAAATACTAATGTAACGATTAAATAACAAAAATAACCAAAAGTGAGCACGACAGTAAATTTTTGTACAAGATACTGATGTGATGATAATGACCTAGATAGAAAACTAGAAGTGCACGAGATACTTACATAACAATTAATCTCTAAGGAAACCTAAAAGTGCGTAAAATACCAACGTAAAATAATAAATACTAATAGCAAGGAAAACTAAAAGTAAAAGGGATACTACAGTAATAATTTGATAACAAGGGAAATTAAAAGTGCACGGAATACCATCGTAACTATTGCATAACAAAGAAAACTAAAAGTGCACGACATGCTAATAGAAGTAACTATAAATCATTTGAGAAAACTTTAAGTGTGCAAAATACTGACGTAATAATTAGATTACAAGGAAAAATGAAAGTGCACCAGATATTAACGTAATTGTTGGATATCAAAGTAAACTAAATATGCACGAGATATTAATGTAAAATTTAAACAACTAGGAAGCTAAAAGTCCACACGATATTGACGTAAAAATTGGATAACAAGGAAAATTAAAAGTGCACTAGATACTAATGTAAAAGTTAACCAGCAAGAAATTCAGAAAGTATCCCAAATACCAATGTAATAATTGAATAATAAGAGAATCTAAAAGTACACCTGAAACTGATGTATTGGATATGGAAAACTCAAAGTGCACGAGATACTAAAGTAATAATTGACTTGAAACGAAAGTTGAAAAATAAACAAGGAAAACTAAAAGTGTACGAGATAATGTTACAATTTAACCGGCAACACGAAAAACTAAAAGCACAAAAGTGGTAACGTAATAATTAAAAAGCAAGGAAAACTAAAAGAAATGCAATAATTGGAAAACAAGAAAAATTTATGGTAAAATGTAACAATTAAACGATCAGGAAAACTCAAAGTGCACGAGATACTAAAGTAGTAATTGACTTACTAAGAAAACTTAAAAATCAAGAGATACTGTGTCGATAGGTTTCGCGCACTCTAACTGGACTTTCGCGGGAACGTACAAAACGGGGGGAAATTAACTAATTTTAATGCAACAATTGCATAGCAAAAAAAACTATAACCACAGAGATACTTTCGTAATAATTGTAAAGGAAGACGGAAGACCTAAAAGTGCACGAGAGAGAGTACACGTAATATGATAATGTCTTATTGTTACATAAGTACACGAGATACTTATGTAACAATCAGATATCAAGGAAAACCAAAAAAGCACGAGATATTAATGTAACATAATTAAACATAAAGGAAAACTAAAAGTGTGCTAAATACAAAGGTAATATTGGATAGCTTGGAAAACTAAATATGCGCAAAATACTAACGTAATAACTGGATAACAAGTAAAACTAAAAGTACACGAAATACTAATGTAATTGTTGCATAAAAAGGAAAACTAACAGTGCACGAAATACTAATGTAACAATTAAATAATAAGTAAAACTTAAACTGAACGAAATACTAACGCAATTATTATATAACAAGGAAAACTAGAAGTGCACGAGGTACTTATGTAACAATCAAACACGAAGCAAAACTTAAAGTGTGCTAAATACTAGGGTAATAATTGAATGACAAGGACAACTGAAAGCGCATAAAATACTAATGCAATTTTTGCGTAGCAAGGAAAGCTAAAAGTGCACGAGATACTCATGTAACAAGAAATCATCAAGAAAAGCTAAAAGAGCTCCAGATACTAAGATAATAATTGGATGCTAAGGAAATCTTAACGCGTATGACACACTAACGTAATTATTGCATAACAAGGAAAACTAAAAGGGCACGAGATTCTAACGAAACAATTAAACATGAAGGAAAGCTAAAGGAGTACAAAATACTCACGTACTAATTAGATAACAAGGAAAGTTAAAAGTGCACGAGGTACTAACGTAATAATTAAATAACAAGGACACAAAAAATTCATAAGATACTTACGCAATTAATGCAAAACATGGAAAACTAAAAGTACACGAGACACTTATAAATAATTGGATGACGAAAAGCAAAAGTACACAAGATATTAATGTAGTAATTGGATAACAGGGAAATATAAAAGTGCACGAGATACTAATGGAACAATTGAATAACAAAGAAAACTAAAAGTACACGAGATTTTAATCTAATGATTGGATTACAAGGAAAACTAAAGGTAATTTGTAACAATCAAACGACAAGGAAACCTCAAAGAGCACGAAATACTAATGTAATAATTGGATAAGTAATGGTAATTGGACTGAGTGGAGTGCAATTTGGGCTGAAATCATACACGTGATTTCAAAATCGAACGAGCGCGCAGTGCGAACTCGATTTGAAATCACAAGTATGATTTCAGACAAAAATTGCACGACATGAGGTTTAATTACCACTTTATTACATCCATTTTGAAATCGCCCAAATACAGGACTTGGTCAGTTCAAATATGTTATTGATGCAGTACTGAGCTGGTTTGAAATTAAATTCATCCATATTTTGGAAGGAAAAAAATAAGAGTTTAGAAACAAAAGTTGCAAAATTTGCCACGATACTCTTTGTCTTTCATTTTCCTGCAATTTGATTAGTTACTTTAAACAGGCCTTGAAATCTGATTGGTTGTTTTGATTTTAGTGAGGCCTGCTCGTTGGCTGGGAAAAATATGAGATTTAAAGCAAAAAATGGTGCGAATCGTGCATAAATTGCACCAATTAGAGCCAATCAGATTACGGGGACCACCAGTAATTTCAAAATGGGTGTAATAAAGAGGAAAAAACAAGTACGCGATGTTATAATTAGAGAGTAAGGAAAACGAAAGGTAAACTGTCACAATTACAAAACATAGGAAACTAAAAGTGCACATGATACGAGTGAAATAATTAAACAAAATGAAAAAAAAACTAAAAGTTCTTAAAGTACTGATGTAACTTTTTTTGTTAACAAGAAAAACTAAAAAAAGCCCATGATAGTTACGTAATTATTAGATGACAAGAAAAACTAAAAGTGCACGAGATACTTATGCAAAAATTAACCATCAAGGAAAAGTAATTGTGAAAAAGTTACTACGTAATTAATGCACAGCAAATAAAAACAGAAGTAAACAAGATACTAATGTAATAATTGGACAACAAGGAGCTCAATAAGTACCCGAGATACTAACGTAATCATTAGATAGCAAGGAAAAGTTAAAGTACACGTCACACTAATGTAATCACTGGATAACAAGAGAAACTCAAAGTCCACGAGATACTCGTGTAACAATTAAACAACAAGAGCTAATTACACGTGCACTAGATAGTAACGAAATAACTGAATAACAAGGAAAACTAATTGTGAACGAGATACTTATGTATCACTTAAACAACATAGAGAACTAATGTGAACGAGATACTAATACTATAATTAAACAACATGGAAAACTCAAAGGTTACAAGATAGCAATGTAACAATTGAATAACAAAGAAAACTAAAAGTACGCGATTTTAATGCACTCATTGGATAACAATGGAAAACTAAAAGTGCACGCGATAGAAATGTAACGATTAAACAACAAGTAAAACTAAAAATGAATGAGATACTAAAGTAATTATCGGACAAGATACTGCCGTAACAATTGATCATCAAGGAAAACTAAAAATGTGCGAAATACTAATGCAATACTTGGAAAACAAAGAAAGCTAAAGAGTACGAAATACTAAGGTAACAATGCAATAATAAATCACTAAGGAAAACTAAGAGTGTGCAAAATAACGTAATATTTAAATAACAAGGAAAACAAAACGTGCACAAGATACTAAATGTTATTACTGGATATTTAGGAGAACCAAAAGTGCACGAGATACTAGCGCAACAATTAATCATCAAGGAAAACTAAAAGGGCTTGAGATATTAACGTAACAAGCAATAATCAAGGAAAACTAAATATACATTAGATACTAAGTTATTATTGCATAACAAGAAACACAAGACACTAACATTACAAGTAATCATTAAGGAAAACTAAAAGTGCACGAGATACTTATGTAACAATTAGACATCGAGGAAAACCAAAAATGCACGAGATATTAATGTAACGGTTAAACGACAAGGAAGACTAAAAGTGCACGAGATACTTATGTACTAATTGGATAAAAAGGAACGCTGAAAGTACATGAAACACTAATTCAATAATAGACCATTTTAAAGTTGTGTACTTGGTTACAAAGCAATGATTTGGAGTGGGGCTGAAGTTACCACGTTGTGAGAGAGACCAGTATCTAGTTAGCATGAAAATAAGTGAATTTACATTTGAAAAGCAGAAACGTTTATCATAATGTACATAAAATACTACATGTTTAACGTGACCAAATGAATGCGCATTTAAACTATTTGCCAGATAGACGTGTATTTAGCTGTAAAGATATGTAGATGAGATTCGACTGAATATAAATAATCAATACAAATATCTTAATACATATAAAGCAACAACAAGAATAATGATGAAAGCAAATTAGAAACGAACTTACAATTTGCAGCGACACCAGATTCAGCAGTAAAACTCTTAAACAAAAAAAAACATGACACTAGCAAAAACTAACGAAATAACTGATTTAGTTGAAATCAAATGGTAATGAGAATTATCTAACAAAAACAACGAGCATACTAGCGAGAAATAAATCGTAAATAATCTCAAGCAAAAACAGGAACTTAATTGAATAGAAACAAAACATCACAATAGTAGTACAATAGAAAGAAAAACTATATAAAATCATTTCGCAGTTGTTTCATAATAAGTAGAAATGCAAATTTTAGTTGCTACACATATCGAG